GAAAAATGAATGGAAGTCAATGCAAAGGCCCCATAAAGATAGCAAAATAAACCTGCGTGTGTGTGTGTGTGTGTGTGTCGGTGAATCGTTGTCTCACCATGACCCTGAAGCATATGTAGAAATTAATGAAAAATGAATGGAAGTCGGGCAGCATGGTGGCGCAACTGGTAGAGCTGCTGCCTCTCAGCGAGCAGGTCCCTGGTTCAAACCCCGGTCAAAATAATATTCTAAATATCAAACCATCGTGTACTTGTCATTCCCTGCAGCTAATCCAGCATAAATAAAGTATTTCTGGACCTTTTAATCCACCGCTGTCAGCTGCTCAGATGCGTGTCTGAACCTGATCTGAAAGCCTTCCAGCGCTCCTGACGGAGTCCTCTCAGATGATCACACTGGATGTTGTGTCTCTCCCAGTGGAGACGGCAGTTTCAGAGCGCCTTTGTTGTTGCAGTACCTTCCTGTACCAGCCGTGCACTGTCAGCGAGCGCTGCAGGCGGCCATCAGCAGAGACAGCAGCCTCTTCTCCTGTAGTTCACCTTTCTCTTCTGAAACCCCATTTACAAAACTCATTTTGTAGCTGGGTGACTCCAGTGTCCCCAGTGTCCTTATGGACAATGTTTCTTTATTCTTTTGTGTGACTGTTGCCACTTTCTAGAGCATCAGAGCAAACCTGCACCTCGTGCACCCCCCACAGCTGAGTCACGGGGCTGTGAAACCAGACCTGTCTGTGACCAGATCTGCTGAAGTGTCAGAACTTCCTCTGAAGACTGTCTCATAAATGTTTTAATATTTCATCATCACTCTATACTCTGACCAGCTGATTTTATTTTTTTTTGCAGCTGAATGTGTCTGCAAGTAAAAAGAAAACATGCTTGCTGGTGTGTTGCTATGGTAACATCAACGCATGAAGCCACTTCCTCTCATTTGCATCAGTGAATAATTGTTTGATGCTGAGTTTACACGACCCTCGTTTACACCTGTCTGTGTCCTTTCTTCTCCCGTTATCATCACACCTTTAAGCAAAGAACTTTAACTGAAGCTGCATTGAGCGGAGCATGAAAACTATCAGCTTTAGTTAAATGAATTATGCTTAATTTAAATAATAAGTGCTCTAGAGTAACTTAAAACAGCAGCTGATCCCTGTAGAATAATATAAGAAAACACAGAGCTGCAAACTCATGGAAAATATTGATGATGGTGAAGTCATTGAAACTGTACCATTATTAGACCTCTATTGTTTAATCTGCATCATAGTAATTAACAGTTTAAATCACCTCCACAATGGAAGTATTAGTTCTTCTAATATGTAAATCTGTAGAGGAAGGTGGAAACGTATGAGGCCGTGGTTCTCAGTAGTAAAAAGTTGGAATGCTCCCTCCAGGTCGAGGTGAATCATCGTCTAAAGAGTAGGAGCTCCGAGCATCTGGAAGCCTCATGATGAGGGATGACGGGATGGAGCGGGAGATAAATCAGTGGAGATTTTCTGGTCCATCTAGGCTCCATTCCTCATATCATCATGATCATGAGGTGTAGATTATGACCAATAGAATGAGGTCTGAGATACAAATGGCTGAAATGAGCTTCCTCCACAGGTTAGCCGGACTCGGCCTTTTGAATAGGGTGATGAGTCGTGTCATTCCGGGGGGAGCTCAAGAGTAAAGCTGCTGCTGCTTCTCATCAACGGAGTCAGCTGAGCTGGTTAAGGCATCTGATTAAAACGCTTCCTGAGCACCTCCCTCTAGGCATTTTACTGGGCAAATCCCGCTGGGAGGAGAACCAGAGGCAGGCCCAGAACCTGCTGGAAGGATCATGTATCCTCTGTTCTTGAAACGCCTTGGGGTTCTCCAGGAAAAGTTGGGCAGAATCAGTAGAGAAAGGGGTGTATGCATTTTTATCTTAGAGCTGTTACCTCCACAATGTGACCATGGATGGATGGATGGATGGATGGATGGATGGATGGATGGATGGATGGATGGGTGATTCACATACTTTCAAAAACAAAACAAAAACTATATTTTAACATTTCTACCAAATTATCAAACTGTACATTTCTGTCCAGTCGTGTACCAACAAATAGATTCCAAAAAAGTAAATAAATAAATTCTGGACTTGTATTTTGAAGCGGAAGACGTTTTGCTTCACGACTGAGAATGTTCACCAGCAAACGTCCCAATAGAATTACCCGTATTTTCCGCCGTACACATCACACCGCCCTATAAGTCGCATCAGTTCAAATATGTCTAATAAAGTTGAAAAATCCATAAATAAATATGTCGCTTCGCCGTATACGTCGCATCTATTATGCATCACCGCTGACAACCTGGAAATGTGGGCCGGTGTTGTGCCAAAAATCAATTGGCTGCCAAATGGCAGCTGCGTGAGCGTGCACGGGAGGACTTTAACAAGAATTTAACAAGATTAACACTTAAAAACAATTATTTGTTTGCTCAACATTATAGTAAAGGTGTGTCTCAGTTGAACTTTTACTTAATAAATTCACTTTAATAGCCAAATTAGTTGCATTTCGCTGGGGCGGTGCAGCAAAATGAAGCTGATTTGACGGTTGCTCCAAGCAACGAGCAAAACGAAGGTGGCAGACAATGGCAAGCCGGTTGTGTCATTAATAATCACTTTTACCTATTACATGACACAATGGCATGCCATTTTGCTCAAGTGCCATCTAGTGGCTGAAAATGGTAGTGTTCAATATTTTCAGTCAGAATGAATGAAAAAGGTCATATCTCAGCCAAAAATTGGTTTATAAATATGGGAAAAAATCCATAAATATGTTGCTTTGGCGTATAAGTCGCAGGGCATGTAAATTATGCACAAAACTGTGCCTTATAGGGCGAAAAATACAGTATGAAGAACTCTCAATTTAATGATAAATTGATTTTGTGTTGTGCTTTTAAACTTAACACAGCAGACATAAGCGACCTTGTTTTCTGTTCCGTCTCATGTTCTTACAGTGATGCACAATTGGAAAGTGTTTTACTTTATCTGGAATTGCTCCACATACAACGCAAACTGCTTAATAATCAATCTCCTTAACTCCAAGAACTTTTCCTTGGCTCACATCTGGATACCGTCAAAAGATACCTTCATATCAAACAGCCAAATATCTGGCGACACTGCTGGTCAAACTTTTTTTTTACGTGGATGTATTCATTCAAATTAAGCACAATAAAATATAAACGTAGTGTTTTTTTTATTATGTTTTACAGGTCAAAGGACTCTCCAGCACACGAGTGATGTCCTAGAGACTGTGGTGCTCGTCAACCCTTCAGAAGACATTGTTGTATCAGAGGTGAGGTCAATAGTTTAAGCTACTGGCCATATTCTGGCGCTTCATGTTTGCTGATGAAGCAGTGACCTAAAAAGATGAGCTGAGCTCTTTCATCATAATGTAGTTTGACCAAACCTACATAAAAGACTTCCTTTTACAAGAAAAGTCAACAACCTAAATTTAGCATTCTCACATTTCCAGCCTTTTTTCTCTCTCTGAATGTTAACAGGAGCACCAATATTAATTTTACTTGTGGTAAATTTTCTAAACCTTGACAGAGTTACTGTAACGTCCGTCTTCCCTTGTCTGTATTTGTAAAGATTTTTCTTTCCGTCTTGGCAGTGCTATCGCTCTTTTACCTGTCCTTTGCCTCCTTCTGTCCCATCTATGTGCCCTAGATCCAGTCTCTCGTGACAGACTCTGCAGGCCACAAGCTTCTGGTGTTAAGTGGCCAGAGCTCAGATCACGGTGGCCTTCTTCTTCAGACCGGAGTTTTTACGTCTCAGACCTTTTCACAAATCTTCACTGATCCTGGGGTGAGTTTTGTCAGCTTTTATAAATCTAATAGCATCATTTCCCATGCATGATACAGGCATGACACTGAAAAGAATAAAAAGTTTCACTCCTAAGCTTTGTTAATGATTTAATATAGATCAAAGATGAGTTTTTAGATTTTTTTGTGCCATTGTTGAATCAGTCATATGTTGGTATGTTTTGTTGCAGGTCGGTGAACTGCTGGGAACAGCAGCCCCCAAGCAGCAGGCAACACTTACCGTGTCCTGCCGCGGGGAGGCGGGCTGGAGCTCCGTCGGTCAGCTGCACGCTCTGAGACAGTTCTTGGAGTACAAACTAAACCCAGAGCCAGTTCTCCCCAAAATGGAGGGTATCACAGAGTTTACAGAGTATGTCTCTGAAACTGTTGACGTCCCTTCGCCCTTTGACCTCCTGGAGCCTCCCACCTCCGGAGGCTTCCTGAAGCTCTCAAAACCATGTTGCTACATCTTCCCTGGCGGACGAGGAGATTCTGCCCTCTTTGCCGTGAATGGATTCAACATCTTAGTAGACGGGGGCTCTGAGCGGAAATCCTGCTTCTGGAAACTGGTTCGTCACTTGGACCGCATCGACTCAATTCTGCTGACACATATTGGAGCGGACAACCTCCCAGGTATCAATGGTCTTCTTCAGAGGAAGACAGCAGAACAGGACGAGGAGCAGTCTCAGGGCTCCACCAATTACAGTGACTGGATGAAGAACCTGATTTCTCCTGAGCTAGGTGTTGTTTTCTTCAACGTGCCAGAGAAGCTTCGTATGCCAGAATCTAATCTCAAAGTGAAACGCAGCATTGAAGAGGCGTCACTTACTTTGCAGCATCTTAACAAACTGGGAATCAAGCCGGAGCCCCTGTTTCGAGTGGTCAGCAACACCATTGAGCCTATTACCCTTTTCCATAAAATGGGAGTGGGGAGGTTAGATATGTACATTCTTAACCCTGTCAAAGATAGTAAGGAGATGCAGTTTCTAATGCAGAAGTGGGCTGGGAACAGCAAGGCCAAAACTGGCATTGTGCTGCCCAGTGGGAAAGAAGGAGAAATATCTGTGCCCTACCTGACGTCAGTTACAGCCTTGGTCGTCTGGCTTCCTGCCAGTCCTGCAGAAAAGATAGTCAGAGTGCTGTTCCCTGGGAATGCACCTCAAAACAAGATTTTAGAGGGTCTGGAAAAATTAAAGCATCTCGACTTTCTGCGATATCCTGTAGTCACACAGAAAGACATCACTTTAGGAGCTGCTCCGTCAGTTATTAAACAAACCAAGTTAAAACAAAGGACAGATAGCAAAGAGAGTCTCAAATCCTCCCCCAAAACCATCGCAAAGATCTCCAAAAAAGAAACGGAAGGACAAGATGACGCGTCGACCATCACAGAGGCAAAGAGTGACTCTGTGAAGGAAAATATTTTAGAGAAAAAAGAAGAGAAAAAGCCAGCCAAGACTCTAAAATCCAAAGCAGAAGTGCCGGAAAAGAAGAAACTCTTGAAAGAAAAGTCATTAAAAAAGCATTCCAAGGAAAGGACATCAAAAATGGATGAGAAAAAGGACAAGGAAAAGAGAGAGATAAAGAAAATTAAAAAAGACGATTCAGCCAAAAAAGAAGAGAAGAAAGATGCAAAGTCCAAGGAGGACAAGAAGAAGGACGCATCCAAACCTGAGTTGAGAAAAATCACAAAACCTGACCTAAAGCCACTTACACCTGAAGTAAGGAAGACGTTACATAAAGCTAAAGCTTCAAGCAAAGTCAAAACTGTAAAAAGCAAAGTGACAAAGGCTGAAGCTGCTGAACCCAAAGCTGACCAGGCAAAACCTGCAGGTATTCAGCCTGAGCCCATAGAGAACCAATCTGCTGGAGGTACATCCGCTTTCTCCCCACCTGAAGACCTCACCAAGGAGTTTGAGGAACTAAAAAAAGATGAAATCGATGCTGTATCAGCAGAGCCACAAGAAAGTGAAGAAGTTTCTCTTGAACTAACCGCAGAAAGCCTTATCCAAGAGAAGATGGAAGCACAAGAAAATGTTTCAGAAATCCCACAGGAAAGAAAATCCCCTGAAAGGAGGCCATCAGGCCCAGATGTAGGAGCTGATACTGAAGTCAAGGCCAAAGAATCACCTGAAGTGCAAGAAGTGGATGAGGCTCAAAAGTTTGAGGATGAGGGAGCAGCATCTCAGGATGAGGAAGACACAGAGGAAGAAGCACAAGCTGCAGAAAAGAAAGCACTGGATAAGGAGGAAGAGGAGGAGGATGAGGATATGGGAATAGGTGTAGATGAAGATGAATCAAAATGGAAGGAGGCAAAGGATGATGAGTTTGACAGAAAACATGAGATGGAAGAAATGGAGAAATCAAAAGATCTCTTTACTAAAGTTGTGACAACACAGGAGCTCCAGATGTCTCCATTCAAGTGTGAGAAGGAGGAAGAGGAGGAGGAAGTAATGGAGAAAGCTGAACTGGAAGAAGTGGAAGATCTAGATGTAATAGCAGATGAAGAGATCAAAGTTCAACCTAAAGATGCAGCTGAAAGCAAAACCAGTGAAATACTGGCTGCAGCTAAAGTCGAAGAGGAAGAGGATGATGAGCGTTACTCATCGTATGTTGGAAGGATCACTGCTCCCATTAGCGCAGTAGTTCAAGGAGCTGTAGCAGGTGAACCCGGCTCTTACATTCAAGATGAGATGATTCCTGGCTACTCTGAGACAGAGCAGACTATCTCTGACGAGGAGATTCACGAGGAGGCGGAGGAGAGAATACCACATCTTCAGTATGACGTTGGCATCTATGACATCTCTGTTCCAGATCAGACTGGATCCTTTGTAAACATTCATGGCATGAGGGAGATGCAAGCTGCTGCTATGATCGAGAGGGGCTTTATCCCAGGTGTACAAGAACAAGTGTCAGTTTTTACCAACATTATAACTGCTCCTCTGGCGGAGGAAGAACACGTGTCTTCGGCAACGTCAATCACAGAGTACGACAAAATCTCCTCCTTTCCTACTTCTATTGCTGATGATCAGTCTGTTGCATCTGTGGCTACACCTGAGGAACCACCTAAAGCATCTACTCCTTCACCAGTGACTCCAAATTCTAGCCAAGGTAAAGAGCAGCTGCGCTCTACAGGAAGTCTGTCACCACCTTCTTTGGAAGACAATAAACTCTCTAAGTCTCCATCCAATGACTTGCAACTTCCTATTGCAGAGGGTAAGACTGCTGTTGAGGTCCCTGTTGTAGCAGAAAAAGAGGAGGAAGAGGAAGAGGAGGAAGAAGACCAAACTCCTAATGTTGACATACCACTTACAAAACTCCAAGAGGGCTATGCTTCATCCAAAACCCTACAGAGCAAAGAGGCGGATACCAAAACGCATCTAAGTTCTCCTGAAAAGGTTCAACGTGACATCAAACCGGACCACCTACCTGTTGAAGAGGTAAATATTGATGCAGTCGCTCCTAAAGATATTTCATCTGTTGTGCCTACAAGACCATTTGGATCTGACTCTGTCACATCCGAGAGTGAGGAGCGTTGTTTCAGCCCGGATGATATCACTGTGAAAATGGCTTCACCTCCACAGTCTGGACCCTCGAGCGCAGCTCACTCTCCCCTTCACCACTCTCCAGTGGAAGACAAAATGAAGGTTTTCTTAGATTTGGGGCAGCAACAGGAGGTGCTTTCTGATGTGGCCGCCGCAAAAGATGACGAGCTCAAAAAGGAAGATGAGCGGGAAACAAGAACACAGAAAGAAGCCGATCACAAGAAAGACGGTCAGATTGAAGTAGCAGTTTCAATATCTGCCACAGAAAATGTCCCAAGGATGGAAGAACCAGAAAAAGACTCCTCATCGGTGCCAAAAGATAAAGAAAATCTGGTAGAAATGGTATCTGCCGTTGCTTTATCTTTAACAGAAGTAAAACTGCCTGTCGAGGTTGTGAGGGACTCCCCCCAGTCATCTAATGAAGAAGACTCAGATTTTAAGGAGGAGAAACCTAAAGTGCCTTCACCAGCTACATTTCCAGGGAGAAAGAGTGGTTTCTTAGATGATGACAAGAATTTTTATGATAATGACAAGAAAGATGATGATGATAAATCTACTATTAAAAGTATCTGTGCAGAACAAGAGGCAAGAAAAAATGACACTTCAGATCTCAAACATATCGAGGATGAACATAAAGAGAAATCTATCATTCAGGTAAAGGTCCCAACAGCTGAGTCCATCATAGACGAGAAGCCGGATGAAAATGCAGAAAAAGAAAATGTTTTGGGTTTTAAACTTGCCAAAGAGGAAGAAGCAGAAGACTCTGTCACTGTAGGTAAAGCCATTAAAGACGAGGACAAAGAAACGGAAATAGAGAACGCTCTTAAGATGAAATCCGCTGAACAAGCGGAGATGGAAACTGTAACTTCTGAGGCCAAACAAATCAAAGAAGAGCAGAAAAATAAAGAAGAAACACAAAAGGACAGAATTGACCTCAGAACCAGCGAGGATGCTCAAGAGACAGAAATTAAAACTGATGATGTTCATTACATAAAGCTTTCAAAAGATGAAATAGAAACGACTGACATCTTTAAACAAAAAACACAGGAAGAAGATAATGAAAAGGACCAGCCTTTAGATAATAAATCTGCTACAGAAAACGTGAAGAAAGAGGAAAAGAAAGATGATAAGTGCATGACTGCGCCTTCCCAATATGAGAAGGAACAGGCGAAAGAACCATCAGATTTAACATTGAAAGAAGACAAGAAAGAAGAAAAAGACTTGGAAGAAAGAGACTTATCTTCCCCCAAGTCCTTTACGGATGAGCATAGCAAAGAAGAAGAAGAAACTGCTGACATTATTGTTACGAAGCTTGGGAAAGAAAACATTAGTCTGATGGGTGAATCTCCCATTACCATGAAAGAAGCAGAACAAGCAATTAGTAAGGATGTAATCCATACCATCAGCAGCACCAGTGTGGAGGAGAAAGAAGACATGGTGACTAAAGATGAAAATCTGTCAGCCAAGACAACAATAACAATTACACCAGAAAATAGCAAAGTCACAAGCGAAGAAGATATTACAGACACTAAAGCTCCCAAGGAAGAAAAAGATATAACATCAAGTAAGGATTTAGAACAGGACGAAAAGCAGGACACAAAAGGAAAATCTGTGACTGTTGAACTTGTATCAGAAGAAAAGGATGCTCAACCAAGTAAGGAGGAAACTCCTGGTCTTGAACGTGATGAATGTAAAGATGCTACTGGTGCAGCAAAACATACCAAGATGGAAGAAGAGCCTGCAATCGTATGTAAATATATTGATTTAGAAGAAGCAAAAGAAACAACTCAAACAGAAAGAGAAAAGACAGAAGAAGAAGAGAAACAAAATGTGAGTAAAAGTTCTCCTGCTGATGAACCAGCTCATATCAGGGAGCAAGCTGTAATAAAAACCGAGCATGAGCTCACTTTCACAACGCTTGAAGATAAAACAACCATGAAGGATGTCAATAAAGTAGATGCATCTGCCTCACAGGAGGAAAAAGACAAAGAAATCTGTAAAGATGTGTGGGCTGCTGAAACGGCAGAAGAAGAAAAAGGGATAACGGTAGACAAGGAAGAGCCACTGACTGTCAAACTGTCCGACGAAAGACAAGAGACAATTCATGATCGTGGCGTCACTGACAAACACATCAAGGATGAGAAAGATACAACTGCGGATACATTTTCTGATAGACAACTGTGTGAGGTGAAAGAAGCAGAAGAACCAAATGTTCAGCCTATCACAGACAAGAAGGATGAAATCAAAGATATTACATCATCAAAGGAGGCAAAAGAAACGTTAATAGAAGAAGTTGAGGAAATTCGGCTCAAAAAGGAAAGTGAAAAAATCACAATTGCTACGCATGCACCTGTTAAAGAGCAAAAAGATGGCGATGGTTCAGTTAAGGCTGTTAAAGAGGACAAAGAAAGTGAAATGGGGGATGTTTCTGATAAACAAACCCAGGGGACTGTGAGCTGGGAGACGGGAGACTCTGATGACCAGAAATCAATTTTGGAGCAAATGAAGCACACTGCTCACTGTGAGGCAAACAAAGACACTGACTCAGATTCTGCCACTGACATAAAACACAAAGACTTGTCCGAGAGTCAAACCTTCAAAGAGGAGAAAGGTGAAGTCAAACAGGACCGTCATGATGAGCACATTATACAGGATTCTGTAACAGAGACATACTCTCCCACATGTAGCACCACAGAAGAGAAAAAAGGCGAAGACTATTATTTATTTGAGTCAAAATCCAAAATGTCTGATGAGAAAGAGGTAGATTTTCCAAAAACCCAGAGCGTGAAAGATGAGACGAAAATTGTTGGTGAGACTACACATGAAGAACCTTTTGAGAAGTTTCCTGAAGCTCAAAAAGAGCGGGAAACATTCACAGAAGAAACACAGCAAGAATTGGTGGTGAAAGGTGACCTCTGCGTGTCTTCCCAGCACATCCAGGAGGAGAAAAAAGACAAAGAATCGAAGGTCATTAACGGAGAAGAAAAGATGGAGACAGAAAAGGACGATGCACATGTCGCTGAACTCAGTAAAGAACAAAAAATGGAGAAAGAACAGGAAAAAGACTACACCTACGAGACTGAAGACATCAGAGATGAAAAAGCAAAATCAGCTGAGAATGAACAGATAATTAAAGAAAAGGATGTGCCTCCCACAAAGGCAGATGACATGACAGAGAAAGAAAAGTCTGATTATACTGATGGAGACCACACCAAAGAGGAGAAATGGGAGAAAGAGGAAATACAGGAGAAAGACCAGGTCAAATCTACCCAGCCATTATCAGGAGAAGCAGTGGTGCTATCAAAGTCAGATTACAAACCTGTATTTGTGGTTCAGTCATCAGATGACGACAGAGAAGATGAAGAGGACGACATCTGCATGGGAGGAGCAGGCTCCAGACCATTGTCAGTGGAGTCGAAAACGTCTGACCATGACTATTCCTTTGTGCGTTCGTCTATTAGTCAAACTCCACAGACAAGTGACCAAAGTAAACCATCTACTTCTCAGCAGCCCACTGTAATTATACCTACTCTTATAATGCAGGAGCCATCTCTGGATGAAGAGATCAGAGAGTTTGGAAAAGAAGAATCCAGACTTCCACCTGAGGCACAAAAAGACGTGAAAGCGAAAACCACACCCGAACCAGTTACCAAGCCAGAGTCGGCTTTTGATGTCGTCAGGTCAGAGAAAGAAGAAACAGTTTGCGGTATCACAGCTGCCAAAACAGAAACAACAGAGAAAAAGCCTTTGTTGTCAACACTATCAAGCACTGACAGCCAACCACGAAGCTCCACACTTTCAAGCACCGAAAGCCAGTCCAGTGTGGAGGAAACACTGCAACCTGAAAAGGAAATCCTGGCTCATGTGAGTGCAGAAACAGTGGCTACAGAGAAGACAAACGTTGATGGAAAACTAGAGAAGGAAGCAGCGAGGGAGACGGAAGGAGAAAGAGAGATGGCTTCTCCAGAGTTGACACAGTCTTGTCCATATTTTATGTTAGAAAAACAATCTGTTGATGCTACCCACACGACTGGCCCAGCAAAAACAGACACAGATGACAAAACGAGCTCAAATGGAGAGGTCACAAGCATCATCCTCGGCAGTGAGGCACAAACCTTTGGTGCATCCAAATATGATCCATACGAAAAACCTGTTCCAATAAACCACGATCTGGACTCCAGAGAAGAGGGTGAGGCTTCACATGGTTTTGATAATGTTTCTGACATCTGCATTGACGATAACAGAAGAACAAGCCAAACTGAGACTGGAGGAGCCATGTTCCTCCTGGATGATCAGTACAAGGAGGAACCTCTGTCCTTCAGTAGAGTGGACTACAGCCCAGTGTCCCTCACAAGCAGTGAAAAGAGTAGCCACCACAGCCCAAGTGAGTCCCCAAAAGATGAAGTCAGAGAAAAGTGCCAAGCAGAGGAGAGTAAAAGAGAAGAAAGGGCAGATGCAGTATCTGCTGACAGCAGCTGTTCATCCACAAATATACAAGACAATAAAATGTCCCAAGCTGCTGAGTCCTATTGTTTTATCCCTAAAGAGGATAAACCTGAGAAATCTGAGAAAGAGAAAGAAGATATTAGGAAAGAAGATGCAGCAAGTTCTCAGATACAGTCGATGGGAGGGGATGACATCATTTCTACCACTGGTGTAAGACAAGAAACAGCCTCTCCTTCACAGAGCCACACAGATCTCTGTGCCTCGGCTTCCAGTGACACTTCTGGGGAAATCATGGAAAAAGAGAAAGAAAAGCATACTGAGTCACTCAAAGACAAAATAGAAACTTCTGAACATTCAAGCGAGGGATCCCCATCTGGTCGGCATTCACCTGCAGAAAAGGACATTTTACTTCATCAAGCATCACTTTTACCAAGACAAGAAGCACCATCTGGCTCAAGGTCTGAAGCTTCAGCCACATTTGTAGGACATGGATTTGATGATAATGTTCTGGCATCTGAGAACAGTCAAATTAGCAACTCATTTGGTTTTACAGAGAAAAAAGAAAGCATAATTGATAAACGGCTACTAGTAGAGGGGGAAGATTTCAGTGTTGAGGATGATGAAGATGATGAGGAGGAAGAAGAGGAGGAAGAGTCAAGTGATGTGGATGTGGAAAAGGGTGCCAGAGAACTGTCTGAAAAAGAAATGTGCAGACGTGGTTCTGATGATAATGCTTTCCTGGCAGAAACAAAGGAATCGGATAAAATGTCTCAGCTGACTGAACAGAGTCTCCTCAAAACGCCGCCAGCCTGTAAATCAACTCCTGATGACGGTTCAGCTTTTCAACTTACAGACAAGGAGGATGTAGGTGGGAATCTGGAGGACACGCTCAGTGACACGACGACATCAAAACATTTTGACACTAGTCCAGACGTAGGCAGAACAACTCAAAAAGGTGAATGTAGTTTTGCATCACGAGATTTCCCTAAACATTTTGACAAAGAGGAGGCGGATAAAAAAGACAATGCTGATTTTTCCTCTGAACCCATTACAACAATCAGGTTGCCTGTGACAGAAGATATTGTATCATCTGAAGTAAGGAAGTCCGAAAAGAAAGATGAAGACAAAGCTTTACTTTCATCTGAGTCTAAATTTGAGACAAAGAAAACTTGCCAGACAACATCTACAATCAGCTCGATAGCCAGCTCTTTGCCAGTTGATTATTCTGATTTTATGTCCAAACCTACATCTTGTGCGGTGCCTCCTCTAGCTGGTACCTATGCTGATATTGGACTGAGCAGATCTAGAGATTATTCCGAGCATTTCTATGGTGAAGGCAGTCAAGTTGGACTAAAAACCGAAATGACAGAAACCTGTGTGCTCTCAGATACTTCCAAGCTGTCCAGTTCAACGGATGATCAACACTGCAGCCGTAGGCCCATCCAAGAAGAAGGTCTGAGGGAGAGGTGGACCCCAGATGTCACAACAAAACATGAGGAAACTACCTTGGCAGATGGCGCATACACCACCTTAACATACTCTTCTTCAGAGTACTCCTCTGCGTCATATGGTGGCTCGTCTTCTACCTCAGTGTCTGCTCTTGGTTCACACTTTGAAGACAAACTCGAAACTTTCACAATGCCAACCTCTGAACTACCTTTAGCCAAAGAGGATATTTCATTCACAGGAGCATCCACAAGCTCCTCTGGCTTTGGAGGCTTTCAGAGAGATGAGTACATGGAGGTGGTGTCAAAACCAGCAGCAGAAGTGTCCAAACTACCATCTCCAGATTCATTCACCACTGCCATGCAGTCGGATGATGAAGAGCCAAAAGCAGATATAAAACTGAGCACTGAGATCACAACTCTCCCCCCAGCACCTCCTTTAATAAGTACAAAATCAGGAAATGCGTCAGAAAGTTCATTTACATCAGAAGCTTGCTTTGATGTGTCTCCTCTTCAAAGGGCTGACACTTCTGACCAGAGGTCTCATGACAAGGAGCCTGAAACCCTTGAAATGGAGGACAGCACTCTACCATGTCGTATTGAATGTCAAAAAATCAAAGAGGCTGACCAAAAACAACTTTTTCTATCAGTAACTGAGTCAAAGTCAGTGGAGAGTACCACTTACTCCATGGAAAAACAAGCAGCCGCCATCACTTCTACCACCATTGTGTATAAAGCAGACGGGGTCACAGAAACAACTCAGCATACAATCTCAGCCACTCCACTTGGTGATCGTGAAGCTACCAAAACTTCATGTGCCATAACAGACTTGCACAAAATTGAAGAGTTTAAGGAGAAAACGTTGCAGAAAAATGAGGAGGAAACTGACAAAGCTGTTGGGTCTTTGACAGACGATACCAGTGTGGCAGAGAAAGAAACAAGTGGGAAAGACGACAAAACGGAGACAACAAAAGACACGGGAGCCAAACAGAAAACAGAGGACAAGAAACTGATTGAAAAGACTAGTGAAGACACCGCAAACGAGAAAAAAGCAACAGCTGACTCAAAGCTCAGTGAAAAAGAAGAGGTCATTAAACAAGAGACAGACAAAGTGGAGGAGAAAAGTTTGCTAGAAAAGACATCAGAAAAGTTAGAGGTAAGGAGAAAGAGCAGTTTATCTGATTGGGAGCTTCTACAGAGACCCGATGACTATCCTAGTACCCCTCCCCCTGGTTATGATGATGATGATGATGATGAAGAATATGACGAGGAAGCAACAAAATGGATGACCAGTTCTCAAGGTATGTCTTTGTCCTCCTCAAAAGATGCTTACCATACAGAATCATCAAGCAGAGATGTAAAGACTGATCGTCCCACTGACCTCAACACCGGAGCAACGTCTTCTGCCTCCCCTCAAGGCTACTCATCCTGTGAGTACAAACATCGCAAAGGAGAACTTTCTCCATCCTTCATAAACCCCAGTCCTCATCGGTTCTCTAGTGAAGAAGGTGAGGAGGGTGTTGGCAGTGATCATTCCCAGGATGGGAATGAAGACGATCATGAGCAACACCCAGTGAAAAAGAGGTTGCACAAGCAAAGGCGCCACCACACTCAGAGTCATCATGGAGACACCGGACATGGACCACACCAGCTACCTGGTGCAATGTCATCCGGTTTGGTCGTCACACTAGCTGGAGAGGAAACTCCTCCAACATCAGTAAGTGAGTCAATACCTTCACAGTCCGACTCTGATGTTCCTCCAGAAACTGAAGAGTGTCCATCCATAACGGCAGAGGGAAATTTGGACTCTGACGAGGATGCTGAGCATCTGCCAGTAGACAAATTATCTGCCTCTGGAGTAGGGATGGGCCACCATCCATCATCACCAAGGTCAGCTCAGAAAACCCATGATCCATTTCCCACCCCAATAAAAGACCCTCTGCCTCACCCTCCCCATCCGGACGTCTGCATGGTCGACCCAGAGGCTCTTCTCAACGATCATGGTGGCACAGAGAAACTTCTCAAGAAAAAGGGCCTTAGAAAGAGCAAACCTAAGTCAGCATCACCTGCTCGTAAGGGGGATGTCAGGAAGAGGTCTTCTACACCAGTGAAGCAGACCAAGGACTCCGCTTCACCCCGATCATCCTCCCTCAGAAGAAAAGACCCAGAAAGAGCATCCAGACTGATCAAAATGTCTGAGAGCCAAGGCTCAAAGAGTGAGCTCCTCAATCCAGGGAAAGGGTTGGTCAATGGCATCAAGACCACTTCAGGTAAGTTAACTTCATCATTCTCTGTGGCACAATAAAACATAAATTAATTAACAAAAATGTAAAATATCCATGACCCAAAATGGAAGAAGCGGGTAAAAGAAAACGGATGGATGGATGGAAAATGTAAAATAAGAACTGGTTTAAATTTACATAGTTATAATTACATAGAAAATGGCAAAATGTGCCAAAAATTGAAGAATGAATTGTTTCATCTTTCATAACAAATTTAAAAGTTTAACTTTTTGTTCAAAACTATACTTTTTTTAAATTAACTTGAAACTTAAAATGTGTCAGCGCTCTTAAATTTGAGATATCATAACTTGATTAAAAATGCAATTTGATTATATGATCAAATATTATTTTAAAAGGTGCCTGGTCTGATATTGCCAGACATTTTTTCACAATGTTATAAATTACTGGTTGCAATTACAAAGGATAAAAACAATCTGGCTTCTTGTTTTTAGCCAGTTCCAATTGTTTTGGTTGTCCCTAAGTCAGTTTTGTGAGGAGCGACACTTAAAGGTAGAACTTATTCTTTTTTTTTTTTTTTTTCCAGATCTAAAAGTTAAAACTTGTGTTTCTGAAAACTGCCAGCTGAAAGTATAAGGTTTGAAAACTAAAAAATCCTCATTGAAACATTGCACCCTGGTAATGTTAGTGAACCACTCAAGTCTAATAAAAGAAAATTTGATTAATCTGTAAAGAAAAATCACTTTAAAATTCAGTATCAGTGAAAATTAAACACCGAGCCTCAAATATTGTGATTAAATGTCACCACATAAATAAAACTTTGTTAAATTTGTATTTGTTGGGTTTCTGTGCTAATATTGTTAGACAATCATTGTGATTAAATCCATGAGAACCACTGCTGCAGAGAAAGTGACAGACAAAAATACAAGAACGTCAACATCAGTAATTCTTAAGTAGATTTTTTACAAACTTTAAAACATTCACAAACTTACCAGGCGGGTCTGAATCTTTATCAGATTAGTTGAATTACATCATATAGTCTGCAAGACGGAGTGATAAAGCCATTTATGAAAAATAAATAAATAAGCAAACAAACCAACCAAAAACAAACAAACCAACAAATCAACAAACAACAAACCAACAAATCAACAAACA